TGGGACTGTTGAAATGAGTGCTGAAAAACAGTCGTCTGCCTTCCCTCTAGTCTTACACCGCTAAATTAGGGACGCCTAGCGCAGATAAACCTCGTGTAGCTTTGCGCGAAATTCAAAAACAAACAAACTGTAACAAACCACTTCATCTCTTGTTGCTGGGTTATTTCATTTTTTAAAACATTTTTTTCCTTTAATTATTATAGTTTTTATAAATTCTTGCTGTATCTTTTCGATTCATTATTATGTAAGTATTCGCTAAATACATTCAAAAACATGCGATAAAATAAAAGCTTTAAGTAACAAAAAATTAAGGGATGTTGAATATGCCTCTGTAAAGTTAATTCATTTAGTTATGTATCTAGACAGATAAAGAAACGGCAGAACTGTTTAATAGCTACTTTGAATATATGTTCGCTTCATTGGTTTGTTTAAAGGATGTGTTACATGTAGCACTTTTATGTAGCACTTTTATGCAGATATTAATTACGTTATATCAATACGATTTTGGCGCCTCCAAAAGTCCATTAAAACCCATATCATGTCCGAGGACTGTACATCTTGAGAATAGTCCTGCAGGGTAGTTTCCATTGCAAAAGGCTTCGTCGTAAGGTTGTCAGGTACAAAGGACATCATTCCTCTTTGTATGCTTTCCATGATATATCTAGTTTACTCTCATATTCCAAATAATCATATCTGTATGATTATTAATTTTGGAGAAATTTTCCACCCTGCACGATGCTTATTTGGGTTCGCACGATTATTTTTTCGGTCATCTTTAATGAAAAACACAAAACTCAATTTCATATTATTCGACCTCTACAATTTGAAGTCTGAATTTTTCCACCCAGCACTATTATTTTGCCTTATTCTAGTCATCACCACCCACCGCCAACTCTTTGGCAACTCTTTTAGCAACGAATAGTTGGATTGACCGTTACATTATAGCGCCCCCACGGCTGGAAGGGCGAGCATGTTTGGTGGGACGGGGATTCGGACCCGCGACCTTCAGATTGCGAGTCAAGCGTCCTAACCATCTGGCCATGGCGATTATAATTTCACCAATATCTCAAGACAAAATCCCTTATGATCAATTATTATCATGTGTGAAAAACTACAAATGATACTAAATATGGTGAAGTTAAGATCATGAAAAGTAGTTTAATCTGATCCATAGAGAAGGTGGAGAAATAATGTTAAATATAACTGTACACATAAAGTTTGGTTCACTCTTCTTTAACCCCCAGTGGCACAACGGTATGTCTGCGGACTTACAACGCTAGAAATCTGGTTTCGATACCCGTGGTGGGCAGAGCACAGAGAGCCCATTGCGTATCCTTGTGCTTAACTTCAAACAAACAAACTCTCTTCTTTTCTTTTTTTGATAAAAAATGTTTTACTTTTTGTCTGTCGATATTGGTTACATACCAAGAATCCTGACTTTTGTAGAACAGAAATAATTATTAAGACTTAACGTATGTTCCAAAACAGTTGAAGGGTTTTTTTAAACGTTTTTCTTAGCTGTGTTGAAAGCTATCGATTAGTTTATCCAATATACAAAGTTTTTCAATTTTCACAGTTAATTAATTAGATACACAGATCCCGCCGTATATTTGCGATGAATTTTTCTAAAAAAATAGCTGTCCTCATTTTTTATCTTTTATATCTATTTGATAATCTTGTTATTGATATGAAATAATTTAGAGATAAATGGTATATCATCAAAACACGAAACAAAACCATCAACCAAGACAGAAGGAAAATTATCGTCTAAAACAAACTGTGATTTCAAAATTTGAGAACTATGTTAAGTAGAACTGACATCTTTACGTTTCTGAAAAATATTTGCTGATTTCAAATATCTGATTAGAATAGTGCAAAAAAATTCAAATAAATACATGTAAATCTTAATGCTTGTCTTTTAAGAAAAACAGATTTGTGAAACAGATTATTTTTGTTTCCAACACGAACACTTAACAAAGAAACGTTGTTAACTGTATATTGATTTGTGAAGACCGAAGGTTTTACACGAGTGAACTAGATATAATCTTAATAACAATTTGAAGTTCAACTCTCCTCCAATCATGTGCGTTCGCAAAGAAGCGAGGGGACCCCTACCCCCTGGAAATTTTCTCTCTATTCATTCAGTATATATTTACACACACACACACACACACCCTTGATTTAGAATTTGTCTCCCCCCTGAATTTACATGATTGAAATAGATACAATCTCAATAACAATTTGAAGCTCATACTCTCCTCCAATCATGTGCGTTTGCAAAGAAGAGAGGGGACCTCCGTCCCCCTAGAAATTTTTTCTCTATATTCATTCCGTACATATATATATATATATATATACACACCCTTGATTTATATTTATAATTTGCCCCCCCCCCTGAAGAAACTTTTGTCGACGTTTATGCCTCCAATAAACCGTTTTGAACATAATTTCAATCAATCAATCATTGATTCTTCAAGGGTCAAGATATTTGTTATAGAAAACAGTATCGACCGATAAACATTAAAACT